TTTTTTGGATGGTGTTGGCAAAGAAATTATGGATAATTACAATGGAAAGTGATTTAGACTTGTTCCAAGCCTTATTTTATATTACTTTTCTCTTTTTATTGTGGTGTTGTCCCATCAATTTCAGTGGAATTACTCTGATATAAACTGCATTAATATCTGGAGATTCATGAGGTCCATAACCTCAGTGGTCACCCAAGTTTTTATTAAAATTGCAGAGAATCGTGTGGATACTTTAGCATTGACTTCTAATAATGTGCAATCAAATGTATCGGCAGGTGCTGTAAATGATATGGCATCCAATCCTGGTTATTACACAGAGTTGGTGGAAAAGTCCTTAGGAACATGCACTTTAGCTACAGATGAGATTGAACGAGATTTGCGTCGTTCCTTACCTGAGCATCCTGCTTTTCAAAGTGACACAGGAATTTCTGCACTAAGGAGAGTCCTTACTGCTTATGCATACAGGAATCCCCAAATTGGATATTGTCAGGTACAGTAGTCTTGAGACCCTTTGTGGTGTTGTCTAAACATTAGCTCATTGTAGCAGTATAGTGGCACCTTATAAAATCAATACAAAAATATTTAAGCTTTCTTGCTCTGTGACTCACGTTGCTCATTTCATCCCGCTGAATAACATCAACTCTCACTTTGTGCTTGAATCTGCTGTTAAATGCTGCCATGTCTATTGAATTTATGTCTCTCTGTTTCTGCTAGACTTCTAACACTTAAAATTTTGTGTAGCTTAAATAATATGCTCTGCATTTGGTGATACTGAGGTAGGATCTCATAGCGGATACAGCTGTGTTTTATCCTACCACACTAAAGATATGTCCTTTAAAAATTCTAACACCTGACAAACTTGAGTTGTGTTTTTGCTATCTTCTCTTGTGAATGCTTCCTTTCCTGTTAACCATTGCAGGCAATGAATATTTTGACATCAGTACTTCTGCTGTATGCTAAGGAGGAGGAAGCCTTCTGGCTGTTGGTTGCTGTCTGTGAAAGAATGCTGCCTGATTATTTCAATCGCCGAATTATTGGTAATATCTTTCTGTCTTTTTATCTACCTAGAATTGAATATAAATGATCATTGATTGACAGTGAGTGTTAAGGAGTGATCTGAAGCCTGAACATTGGAGAGAAACTTTGGAGAATAATTCAGTGTTGTAAAGCAGAAAATTGGAGTAACAGAACATCCCTAGACCCTCCTAAACTATGAATGGATGTGACTTTCAAATATTGTCATTGCTGTATGGGTGGCTGT